GTTGAACAAGACTGGCCCCAACACCGATCCCTGAGGGACACCACTTGTTACTGGTCTCCAGCCGGACATTGAGCCATTGACCACAACCCTTTGTGTGTGGCCCTCCAGCCAGTTCTTTATCCACCAAGTGCTCCATCCATTTGATGTTTCTCTAATTTAGAGACAAGGATGTCGTGTGTCACAGCGTCAAAAGCTTTGCAGAAGTCCAGGTAGATGACATCAACTGCTCTACCCCTGTCCATCAATTCCATAGCTCCATCATAGAAGGCCATCAAATTGTTCTGGCAGGATTTCCCCTTAGTGAGGCCATGCTGGCTGTCACCAAGCACCTTGTTGTTTTTCATGTGCCTTAGCATGCCTTCCAGGAGAATCTGCTCCAAGATTTTGCCAGGCACAGAGGTGAGACTGACTGGTCTGTAATTCCCCGGGTCATCCATTTTCCCCTTCTTGAAGATGGGGGTTATATTTCCCTTTTTCCAGTCATTGGGAACTTCACCTGACTGCCATGATTTTTCAAATATGATGGCCAGTGGCTTAGAAACTTCATTCATCAACTCCTTCAGGACCCGTGGATGGATTTCATTGGGTCCCATGGGCTTGTGTACGTTCAGGTTTTTAAGATGGTCTTGGACCAGATCCTCTCCTATAGTGGGCCCAAGGTCTTCATTCTCACAGTCCCTGCATCTGCCTTCCAAGAGTTGGGTGGTGCAGTCTGAGCCTCTGCTAGTGAATACTGAGGCAAAGAAGTCATTCAGAACCTCAGCCTTCTCCAAATCCTGTGTAGCTAGTTCACCTGAGAGCTTCCTGAGGGGGCCTACGTTCTCCCTAGCCTGTCTTGTACTTGCTACGTACCTATAGAATCCCTTCCTGTTATCCTTAACATCCCTAGCCAAGTTTAATTCTAAATGGGCATTAGCTTTCCTAACCTGGACCCTAGCTTCCAGGACAACATCCCTGTATTCTTTCCAGGCTGCCTATACTTGCTTCCACCTTTTATAAGCTTCATCCATTAATAAAAAATCATTTCCTACATTTAACTTATTAATAGATACGATCTTTTCAAAGAAAAATGATTGTTTTCCAAACTTGTATGTAAAAACTTATTAATGAAAATATCTTTCATCTAAAGCTTGCAGGGCTCAAAGTGTTTCATTACAGGCTTTTTGGGTTTTAAGCACGAGGTGTCAGAAAAGTTACCATAGGGATAACTGGCTTGTGGCGGGCAAGTGTTCTTAGCAATGTCGCTTTTTTGATCCTTCGATGTCAGCTCTTCCTATCATTGTGAAGCAGAATTCACCAAGCATTGGATTGTTCACCCACTTATAGGGAATGTGAGCTGGGTTTAGACTGTCATGAGACAGGTTAGTTTTACCCTACTGATGATGTGTTGTTGCAATAGTAATCCTGCTCAGTCCAAGAGGAACTTGAGGTTCAGATCCCTGGTGCGTGCGCTTGGCTGAAGAGCCACTGGCGCGAGGCTACCATCTGCGGGCTTATGACTGAACGCCTCTAAGAACCCACCTAGATGCTTGTTGTGCTATTGCATCATGGGTCGCTTGTGATTGACCCAGGAGATGACAGTCTTGTTCAGAATGCATGGCTAAAGGTCTTCCCGAATCTTCATTAGCAAAGTCAGGCCTTCCTCATCGGAGAAGGAAAACTCCTATCTTCAAACCCAGGCTGATGGAGCTCGTCTAGCCTTGTATGGTCTTCCATCAAAGAGGACACTCTTATAAAACCTACGACCTGTGGACTTTGCTGTCAGCGTCCTAGCTAACTAGGCCGTGCCAGTCAAACCTCAGGTTTAAAGGGTGGCCCAGTTCTGCGCAAGCTGCACTTCACCTAAAAAATCCACTGCGCAGGCTGGAAGGGCTTACTCTCACTTTTCAGTATGGACAGGCGAGGGTCAAAACGGTAGGTGACAGGGTGCACGGGAAGCTGCAAGATCCAGTGTTACATGTGGGTGGACCAGCGCATGGGTAGCTCGAGTTAGCTCAGAAATTGACAGTCATGGTCGGACACTTCCTGATTGCCTCAGCACCTTTTCCTAGATTTGCATATCCCACATGCCCTTGGTCATTGTGCTTGCAGTAAGCATGGTTAAAGCCCTTCCCAAATCTTCGCTTGCGAAGTCAAGCCATCATCACCACTCTGAAAATTGAGACACACTCTGAATCTATTGAAATTGAGACAGAGGCACAATCTAAATGAACACTGTAGAAAGGGTGACTTTGCACACTACAGAAAACCCGAGAATATTCCACAAGGATGCTACAGAAAAAGAATTTTTGCTTTTCTTACCATAGAATGTTGTCACTGGCATGATCTTAGTCTCTGGCAGCTTCAAATGCCTCTGCAAAGGTTCACCTGGACTAGCTTGCACTTAGCCTTTTATTTTTTTCCCACAGGACCCATGGTCTTAAACAGAACAGTGATTTAGCACTGATGACAAGCAGTGGTATCTATGGATGTGTCTCATTAGCCTGTTCTGAATTTACAGATGCATCCTTTGAGATAGGAAACCCAAACTGTTAACAGAATAGCCACCAGGCAATTTGTGTGGTTTTGTTCCTATTCCATACATCATAAAGCACCAAAATCATGAGGTTAAATGAAATTCTTTGAAGAATGTTTTCATAAATCTTTTCGATATTTCAGGAAAAAAATATTTCTGAAATTTTGGAGATGTGATTTAGAATTTTTACAGTGTTTTAGAATCATCTTCATACTGTAGGGAGCTATTCAAAGGGCTGTCCTGAAGAATGCACATCATTAGATTCGCAGTTTACTCACTGTATAAAATAAACAGCCCAGTAACAATCTAGTCTTTAGCCACAACCTTTGAACATATGTACTCTTAGCTAGGATCCTTCTACAAAGAGGGGCATATCAATGTCCTGTTTGTAACTGGGGTTTTTCTTTGCCCCCAATATCCAAAAGCAGCTGGAGGCAGCCCTTTCCCCATCACACTCCACATCCCCTTGGTGCCAGTCACTCTGAGCCTGCTGCTAGGGTAGGAGAAGCAGGTAAAGATGCAGAGGAGCTGCAGGCAAATGCAGAGGAGCACTCCCATCTGCTGGGCATTACCTTCCATCCCAACACTGGAACGACCTCAACTCTTGACCTTCTGGTATACAGAGAACAGAGTAATGGTATTTAAAGATCACTAAAAAATACCTATACTTTTATAAGTATACTTTCATAAGTATTACTTATACTCACATCAGGTGAGCGCACAGATAGCCCAGAACGGGGAGTTTCCCACCTCCAGTTTTTGGCAGGGTCCAGAATAATTTACCCATTTATGTGGTTTTGTTAAGAACTATGCAGAGAAGTACCATGGAACTTGAACAAAACCTAAACCAGAATGACATCTCGTCCTGCAAGGGTTCCAGCACAGTACAACAGGCTTGTGAACATGAGATGATTTTTGAACATCAAGCACCAAATACCTTGGGGGAGATGGGGGGGGGAGGGGAGGGGGAGGAAGGAAAGTGCAAGGCCTTACACCTTACAACTAAAGGAGTGGAAAAGCATCAGGGATTTTTGTTGCTTCTGGTGAAAATTAAGTAAAGGCAGCAAATCTCTTAGAAGAACTAGCAGAGGATGCATGGCAGAATATGGCTTCACATGTTTATCCAGTGTCTCTCCCAAAGTACTTAAAGCCTTTGCCATGTGCAAAAGCAAGCCAACCAGCTATTTTTAAACTCAATTAATTCAACACATATGGGCTGAATTCTGTTAAAAGTAATGACCTTCTGATGTAGTTATTGAAATTGCCACTAGACAGAGCTCTCCAACTTATTTTTGACTTCAGAAATGTTGAGAAGCCCAGCGATGTGCTAGAAATCCAACAGCAGTTTGTATTACAGACTTCTTCAGAAAAATGGCACGTGACTGTAACAGCAGCTGGGCATTTGCAGCCAGGGTGTAGTTTTTGCACTACTATATATAATCTCATCACTGGAGCTGAGGGCTGCATCTGTGTCACATAAATTCTCTAGTCATTCACCAAGAGCTAGTGATAAAGAGATGACAGTTGAAAAAAAATCTGTTTTTTTCCTTGATTAAAAGACAGTGTATGTGTTGAAATTGAAAATAAGCAAAACATCTGGGGATCTAAAAGCACTGTGACAAGGCTCTAACTGTAGAGTTTACTGTCAAATACATTTTGTCAGAGTTCTGGAAAGGTACAAACAATGGTACCTTTGAAAAACAGAACCATTTCGATTCCAGGTAGGTAACATGCATTCAGACAGTCATTAAGGGTGAATGCCAGCAGAGTGGGTTCAATGATTAAGACAACACTAACTTGTTAAATACAATATTGGAATTTAATCATCGAGTAACGGTACTGCATATGCTTTAGTATCCACATGCCCTACTGCCCATCACAAAGCAGCAGTTCCTCCTGCCAAGCAATGCAGAAATTACCACATGAATTAAATGCTCACTGACATCCATGGATCTATGCCAGTTTATATCATCCAATTACCTGGTCTTTTCTGATAAATTCAGGGTATAGCACATTTTGTTTAAAGAAAAGCAAACACTCATTTTGGAAAAAAGCAGAGAGAGGGATCAGTATTAGCACTGGTTCTCCTGGGCTCACACCCTGATTTGCATTGCAGGCAACCTGGAGCAAGAATTTCTGGAATTTCTGCAGCTGTAGCTACAGCACTGATTTCATCTTGTGATTGTGACTTAAATAGCTGTGAAACCACAGCCAGTTCTTACAGGCCAGCGTTCCTGTACAGCCCACGTATAGAACAGGGTTGGTATAAACATTATTAGCCTTTAATTCGTTTCCCTGCTTGGTATTGGGTGTGGGCTTTTAGGTTCCATTTCAGTATCAGGCACAGTAAATGTTGAGGCACGTAATTGCCTCTGCTAGGCCAGGGACCCTCTCTAAGGACACGTAAAGACTACAACAGGACTTAAACTCTCTACATATCATACTTCAGGACCTTAGGTAATGCATTTGTTGCTTATGAATGTACCTGTTAAAATTTGGCTCTTTCTTTTCACTTACTCAGCTAAATCTTACTTCCAGGCTCTTTTTTCTATCAGTCCTTGCCCTGGTGCCAGACCAGCGTTTCCTTCATGTGCCTCTGGCATGGCTGTATAGGGCAGCTGCACAGCAACCCACATGAACATGCCATTAACATCTAATTTTTCTCCCCAGCCATCACTTGCCCACACCAGGAGGTGTAGTGACTTGAAAAGAGTGTTGAAAGACAAAGGTGGAGAACGGCACAGTTGTGTGAAAACAAGACCATGGTGGCAGAGCTTCACCAGTGCCTGGTGAAGTGCTCTGCCCATTCTTGGAAGGCTGCCCGTATTGTGTCGGATACACCATGCTGACCGTACCATGGCAGGCCCTGCTTTTGAGACTGTCTGTGTAACTTGGAGGGATCCTGTCTGCACTAATCACTGCCATTTTTACACTAAATTTGTTTGGCAAAGCATAGCAATTAAAGATAGCCTTGAGATTTTTAGGACTCTAAAATATTATTGTATTTTTAAGCAACAACTAAATATTACATCAAGGAAATTTGTCTACAAAGCTTTAGTGTAAATAACCCCACCAAAACAAACACACAACAAAACAAGAACCTCACACATACAAAGAGTTTAACCATGCAACTTGCTGTTTCTCCATAAGGGACCCCAGGTGTCCACTCAGCTGTTTCCTGCCTGCCTTTTAACTTTCCCTCTGTAAATGAATAACTGTCTGTCTCAATCGCCTGTGCAGATGAATACTGCTTGCAGGGATGGAAACATAACTGTGAGAGGCTGAAGAGACTGAAATAAAGTCCAGCCTTATCCAATCAGAAGGACTGTTTCCAATCATTCTGCATTCTGTCCAAAGTTTTTACCTTTGTTGCCATATTTTTGTGGAGGCTTGTGAAAATAAACCAATCCTGGTGCCATAAGCATTTGCACATATAAACTTTTGGAAAACATACTTGCAAAAAAAGACCTTGGAATGAAGGTTAGATTTTGCAATATGGACACAATGCATTTATTTTCTTCATAGCTACCCAAGACATCAGATGTTCATGAACCTTAAGGAAGATACAAATCTGGGGGTATTTTGGCTCTGTGACATAGCAAAAAATGTTGAAACAGAAGGTTGTTTATTATCATATTTTAAAATAATAACTCAGGAGTAAGAATTAACTCAGCCTGGAACATTTCTGATTTCTTATTTGAAATTAAGCTACTGATGTGTTTCTCAAGACCTGATCAAAGCACAGTTGCCTGGCATGTTAACTAGGGAAGAAATGTTTCACTTTATTGTAGCTTGTTCATCCTCTGGGACAGCTCAATGGAACTATGTCAGGAATCCACCATTACCTCGTGTGCCCAGGACTTGCTTTCCTGAAGTTCAGTTCTGCTGTGGGACTTCGGTGAGGACACTAACTCCTGATCCTTGGATTTCAGTCACAAGGAAGCACTATAAAAGCACATGAGATTAAATCAGCAGCAAAATGGAATTCTTAAAAATACCTATCTCAATTCCAAGCATTATGGTGACAATCTGACTTCAAAAAAACCTTGCAAGTGGTTTATAAAGATACACATCCACAATCTATTGGGTCATGGGTATTTTTTGCATTAAGATTATAAGTGTATATGAGAAAATCTTAGTCTCAGCAACAAAATATCATTTGTAATACAAATATATATTTTAATATCATCTTCAGTGAAACTCTGCATTTCATAGTAGGTCAGGCCTTGCTGAGAGTATGATGTAGCAAAAACCAAAAACCGAAATCTTTCACTGAAGTCTGTCAGCTAATTGTACACGACTCTCTTGATGTAGGATTCAGAAAAACAAGAAAGAATGAGAATTTTCCAGCAGCTTATGTGTTTGTGCACATTTGACAAAGTTAAAGATTGAGCATACTTCTGTATGGACTATGGCGGCTGTACTCTTCTGCCCACTCAATTATAGGCTATAGGACCAAGATCCAATTAGTCACTACTACACAGTAGAACTGTTGGGTAATTCTTAAAGATAAGACGTTTCTTTGTGACAATACAAAATTAAATTACAACAACATCCAGCTAACAGCCTCCTGCTTTTTCTCTAATGTGTGCTATTGCCCCATGCGTTCTCCCAACACCCCCCTCAATGTATGTTTTTGTACCTGCATATCTAACATGATATGTAGTTGATGACTAGACCTTAAGAGTCATTGAGATGAGGTCAGTATTTGATACTCGCAAAGACCAATATGGGAAAGCAGCATCTCTGGATTTTCCTATAGCCTCTGGCAAGAAGTAAACTACAATGTTCACTTTGAACAGCCTCAGCAGCTACGGCTGGTTGCTGTCCTTTGACAATTAATCTCGGGCACTTTTTTCCAGATTTGCCAGCAATCAAGACTTGATTTAGGCCACTTCTCTTTGGCCATCAGACTATAAGGTATCTATCTGATCATTTTCTGTATCACCTATGTTTTAGCAGGCTCAAAGAAGACCCAGTTTTCTCCCAAGGTATGAGTGTGAAAACAGGGCAGTGCACTGAACTTTGCTTACTGGTGCCCTGAATCTACCCATTCAAAACAACATTTGAATGCTTCTGGAGAATGAAAACAAAACAATGACCAATGTATATGGTATCTAATCTGAAAGACAGATTTCACATGACTGGAAAACAAACCACTGAAAGCAGAGTAATGCCATGAGAACAAGCAGTTCCCCCTTTTATTGTTTTAGAAGCCACCTGAAATGGCTTGGTGGCCCAGCTAGATCCCACTCTGCTGCACAGATGAGAGCACAGCCCACCAGTAATGCAACATTTATACTTAGAGGAAATGAGGCAATTTGATCCTCTTAGGAAATGCACAAGACTCACTTTCTAGTTTAAAACCTAGAAATAAGGCAGTATAATGGACAATCTGATGGCACCTTTCTCAGCACAGTGCTCCATGGCATCCTTCTACTCTCACTTCATAGTAATGGCACCTTCTCAATGCAGACTTGACATCAGGGGCAGGGGGGGGTCACTGGGCTCAGAGATTAGGAGCACCAGGGTGCCCAAGCTGCGCACAGTTATATCACAAGTCAGAATCTCAGCTTCTTGTTTCAGCAACTGTTTTAAGTGTAAAGAAGTTTATGCGCATCTGTTTCTCATTTTCACCACAAAGTGGCACTACAGCAGTTGCCATTCATTTCAGTGTACGATGAACTTTTGACAGCCAGGTTAGTTAGTTTTTTTTTCCCTGTGCTGAGTCACCACTAATTACCCTCTGCTCATACCATAATAACCCCTATGCATATATACATATATATATACACCTACATAAATACACAAACCTAGTGGCTCAGCTCCAATTACTGTTGTACCTGGGCTATAATGTGTGGTCACAGAGACATACCTGAACTAGCACTGGTAACAGTATAACTCTGTGGAAATGCAGAGCTCAAGAAGGGCTCTGTCCTACAGGTACCTGAGATAAGAAATTTAAATCTGAACAAACACAGAGTTTGGTTGTATACCACAGGTACCAAGGCCTGTAGTGCTTTAGACTCCCCTCTGCTAGAACCACCCCTGTGCTGGCAGGGCTATCAGAGCCTGTGCAAGTGTTCAGCTGGCAAATGCCATCAGCTGGAATCACCCCAAAAGTGAGGAGAAAAAAAAAACACAAGCAAGCAATTTCTGAAATAGTCAAACCCATCATACCTTTGTCATTCATTTCCAGTTTCAAGGCTATGATCAAGCAGTCTTTTTGAAGACTTCGTCAGCAATCCCAGATTTTACTGGAAACTTTGAGCTTCCCAATACATCCACTGCAAATTTACCATCTTCCAACTACCCTCATACAGGGTAGCTCCCCTGAACTGCTAAATTACCGCAGCAAGGATTACCTTTTTGGCTTGGGCTTCGCTCTATTCTGTTACCTTCCTTCCTGCCGATAGCTGGAGATACAGCTAACTCTAGCAGTCCCGCTCCCCCAGCCAGCTGGCAAACATAATTCCCTACCAGCCTGCAGTTATCTTCTCCCTCTCATCCAAGAACTGGTTTTGGATGAGTTGTTGCCACTGAAATGCTGCTGCTCTCAGCAACTGCCTGCCCTATCGGTCAGCTGGAGCCAGCCTGGCCTGACAGGCTGATACAGTCCAGGCTTGGCTAGGGGACCCCAGCAACACAGCAGCTGTGATCCCAGTCACAGTCTCCCTGTAGCCACGAGAAAATAGCTTCCAGTTGCAGGGGGGAAAGCAGTGGAGTGAGAACTAAGGAAACTAAAAAAGGAATGGAGAAAAGGGACAGAGAGAACATTCCAGGTGCCTTCAGGAAAAGTTCCCAATAAAAGGAAAAGTTTATCCTGAAGAGAATCCAGAAATATGCTGGGTTTTCAATTGCGTGAGATGGCCCATGGGAGAGCTGCAGGGCTTGAAATGCTTCCCAAATAGCACTGCTGTTCACTTACATTTAACTATTTTCCAGAAGTCACCGTAAGCATTTGGCACCCCTCTTGGAGGCTGTCTGCTGGAGTGTGACTTTACGTGTGGACCCCACAGCAGCTGTTCAGCTGTAGCATGTCCTATCAGGCAGAAACCCCACACACAGTGCTGCAGCAAGAGCTGGGCAGCCCCACAGCTGAGAGAGCAGGAGAAAAGCTAGCCAGCATCTTCAGCAGAAAGCTCAGTGGGGAAAACCAGAACAAAAGCAGATGCTGCCCGGGAAAGCACAGCACGAACTTCACCTGGTAGCCTCACTTCTTCTACACTGTCTTATACACTTCCTTTGGGAAAGTTTTCCTTTATTGAATCTTGGAATAATCAGCAGAATTCAGAGATTTGTGATGTGTTGGAGGCATGAAATCCATAACTGCCCAACTGAGTACCAACTTTTCTTTCTCTGGCAGAGAGGGACTACTCCCACCATAATATCACACCAATATGGGTACAGTATGCTTTTGAGGAGATAAGAAGTGTTGTACAGAAGGGCTGTAGATGCTGTTCAAAGCTGCTTCATTACTGAGTTGTAAATAGGTAAGAGAGCGTAACCAGTTTTATGTTATTCATCACTCTATTGTAGTAAAGAATCCATTTTTGCTACATATGAGTAAAGCAAGTGCAAGCTGACCCTTGCTCCTCAGGACAACACAGTGTCTGAAATAAAATCATATGGCTTTGGATGCTTAGGCACCTAACTAGTAACTCAATTCACACTCCCTCTTTCTAGAGCTCACTGTTTTAATAATTCCTGTTACACTAGTAGCAATTTATCCCCAACCAGTCATTTTATAATTGCATTTGATTAAGATTCATGGTTAGAGATACATTATGATGATAGTGTTATGACAGACTGATATAATTATGTGAAAAAAAAGCTTATCTCTAAATAAGAAAAAAAACACCCACTATTAAAAATAAATGCATTAAACCTATGTATTTAAATAGAAACTATTTTCAGGTAAATCAGAAAATTTAAAAATTTAAAAAATCTAGCAGGTATGAGAAAAGATTAATATAAAGGCTACAGACACTATGAAGATAATTTAAAACTCTGTTGCTTATACAGAATTAAAGTGAAAACAGTCATATGAGGCAATAATTGCGAGTAAAATCTGAAGGGGGAGGTATCTACACAAAGTCACTGATGGCAAAAATGTGCCAATGCAGTTTCTAACACTGTCAACAAAAGATGACACAATGCCTTTTGAAAGTGAAACAGGAATCAAGAGATCTCCTTTAGGTGACTGATCTTTTGATCAGACTGTTCTGGTCTGTGAATCAGATATCAATTAATCAGTACCAAGTACTTAAGTACCCTGTAAGTAGGTGAGAAACATAACACAAGAAATGAAATATATGTTCAACTGAGTGGGGAGAAAAAGTCCTTTGACAAGTTCTGAGAGGACAGCGGCAGAAAGACAGTGACACTTTTGGGCTGGTGACCATTTTTCTGTTCAACTTCATACAGCACCTCACCAGCTAGCTACCTTTTCTGGAACTAAGTCTTCCTGCATCTCATAATTGAAATACACACTAAAATACAATTATTAACTAAGGAAAAGTGCTGTGTCTAACATACCTGTTTACTGTCCTCTGAGCTAAAGCAACTGCAATGCAGACAGTTCAGGAATATTACAGAAATTTATGATGGAGAAATACATAAGAACATGTTTGAATAGACTCTAGACTCTTACGACTGAAAATGCTCTATAATTAGTCTGAGATAGCGAGAATGAGGGAACCAACAGAGTTCAGCAGCAAAAAGTGATCTATTTGATCCCATGCCACATTCTTCTAATGCTTTAGCTTGCTCTGAAAAATATGATTTAATTTATCTGCGGTAGCAGTTTGAAATGACCAAAGTGCTTGGAACAGAAGACGAACTGTGTGGGCTCATCCTCCCATGCTGCAGTTAGAATACAGAAACACAAATGGAGCGATCTCCTTATGAATGAAATCTAAGTCTGAAACCAAAAGGCCAAATAA